AGACTCTGGGAAGTCGTCTACTGCGTAAACAAAATCTGACTTGATTGTTCTGTAGACATTGAAGATGAACTCTCTGAAGTTAATTTGAGCTTTAATTGCGTCCAAGAGAGGAGACATTTCACCAACCCTGTAATGTCTTCTATCCACTTCTGCCACTAAACGCTTGAAGATCCAGTCCAACGTCTCTGATGAATACTTGTGAGCTTCTGTTGGGTCGAAGAATCTTAGTAGCTCATCCTTGTCCAAATACACAAACCCGAAAACGGGATTGTGTAGAATGGTGTTTGGATAGTACTTAGATACCCAATTAGGCCTGCTGTAAGGAGGAGTGATCTTTAAATTCTTTTGTGCTAATCTCATGGCCAACTCAAAATCCTTCTGGCTATAATACATCACTTGCGCACGTATAACTTCAATCAGCCTCTTGAGAGAAATTTGGTATGTTTTCCTCCTCTCCATGTAGATGTTAAGGATCTTGTGCATATATATGACATCATACATGCAGAGGTTATGAAGATCTGCATCAGTGAACGTATAGATGTTGCCGTCTTCTCTCTTTACAACGTACTATGAGTAAAGAACGGTCTTCTTTAACAGAGTCCTTGGTGAGATTGTCACCAAATAAGTGATCATGTGGCGCGAGAAAACCTGTTCACGAGGCCTTGTTAACCTGGAGAAGTGGAATTTGGCTACGGCAGAGGGGATATCAGTGAGCTCTGGGTCATAGGGTGGCTCTGTGTCTGTTACAGAGTACTTCCGAAAAAGAATTCCTTCTGGGGTAGTGACAGCCTCTGTGCGAACATTTTGCGTTGGAATCTTGCTCATAGATTCAAGAATTTTAGAGACCCGTCCTCCCTCTGTAGACTCTGGCATCTTCTGTTCTTCTTCTTCTTCTTCTTCTTCTTCTTCTTCTTGCAGAATCGGCCTCTAGGTCGATCCCTCTGCAAGGATGGACTTAACGGTTCCTTGCAGGGCATCAAACGTACCCGTGGACGTTGTTTGGACTTGTGGGAAAAAGGATGTTGTGGCCTCGCCTTCTCTGTGGTGCATAGGCACTCTGCCCTTCTTAGCCTGAGCCTCTGCCAGAGAAATCTTCAATACTTTGAGGAGCTCAGGGTCATCAGCATATTTTTCTTCATTAATTGGCTCTGGAGTTCCTGTGCTCGATGATGACCCTTTCTTTGAAGATTCTACAGCTATGGCCTTTCCCTTGCCTTTAGGCTCTGCAGCCTTTTTCTTGCCTTTGTCAGCAGCTGTAGACTTTCCAATCTTTACACCTCTGGCAGGTGCTCTGGCGGATTTCTTCTTTGCTTCTGGGGCCTTGGCCTTCTTCTTTTCCTCCTTTTTCTCCCCCTCATGACGATCATCATCACCTTTATGATCGTCATGGCTCTGGATGGCATCAGCCTTGCATGAAGTTAGGGGAGCCCTTCTCAAATGACGCAGAATCTTAGTGGCCACCTTGTACATTTTCTCTATCACCTTCTCGGCACCCGTAGAGGCATTCATCATATCAAGTTCTGTGGCCCATTTGAGTTTGGAGACGGTGCTGAGGACTTCTGCACGAAGGAGGTCACCTTCTTTTACAAGCTCGGAGGTGCATTCTTTGATGAGATAATTGGATGTGAGGATCTCCATTTTAAGTGCTCCGAGATGGCCGGTCACAGAATCCCATAGGGCATCCACCATAGCATCTAGTTCTCTGCGAGTAGCCAAGTGATTGATGTTTGCCCTTGAGGTTGACGAGTCGATTCCATAGGTGACTGCAGAGGAGAACATCTCCTTGATTTCGTCTCTGAACGATGAGTAGTTCGTGTAGCCTGCAGAGACGAAATCATCTGCAAACTTGGCGGCCATCTCTGTGAGTTCGTCCTTGAGCGTTTTGATGGAGGAGGGGTTGAGTGACATCGCTTGGAAGGCCTCTGTCACATCCTTCTTAATGACAGAGCTCTGAAGGGTTATCAATGTAGACTTCAATTCTGCAGTGGTGGCGGATAACTCCTTCAGAGCCTCTGTAAGCGGCGATAGATCATGTGGTTGCGAACGTGAGATGAACAAGCTTTGCAACTCATCCATCTTTTTGAACAACTCTATGTCAAAGGCGTTAAGCTCCCCCTTTGTCACATAGTCATTCTGGGAACTCGGACCACCAACACATGGTGTTCCTTTGGCCTCGGAGCTTGAGGCGCCCTCAGCGGCTGGCATTTCGTAGCCTGCTCGGGGACTTCCACCGTATCCTCGCACATCTCCTTGAGGAGAGGCTAACAGTGTTCTGTAGATCTCRTGTCCGGTAGTTTCAGAGCCTAACCTGACATTTTGATCTAGTGGAGACAGAAGGTGTTCTAGGCCCTCTGCCTCTGTGGTTCTCACATGTGCCTCTGAAGCACGTTTTGGTTGATCACTCTGTGAAGAGACAACAAATGTCTTTAAGGGTACTGTCAAGTCCTTGGGCGATTGGACTCTTTTAGTAAAACCTTCACCCTTTTGAGAGGGTGAAGGAGTATGTTGTGGTTTCCCAGGTGTGCGATTCACAGAGGACGAAAGATTGTCCTCTACGGCGGTAGGCTGGTTTGGGTTCGGCAAGTGTGTGCCTTCTTCAATAGAGGTTCCCTCTAAAACATGGCCTCTAGGAATGTGGGTTGCACTAGGAGGTGGGCTGGGATGTGTGCCTTCGGCATCTTTTGCGCCCTCGCCTAACTCCTCTACCTCTTCTTCTTCGTCATCTAGGATGACCTCTGTCCCCAACTGAGATTGTCAATTGGTTCCCTGAACTCCTTCTGGACATTCGACAGAACATCCTGAATTTGTTCTGTTGGGGAGACGTTGATGACCATCTTACGCAACCTTCTGCGTTTGGGTGTTGCTGCATCCTCTGCCGGGCTTTCTTCTGCGATGGCCTCTGTGACCACAGGTTCTGTGATCACAGGTTCTGTTGGTTCAGCCTTCTTCGTTTTCCTCTTCTTAGGTTTTGGCAGAGGTGCAGTTGGGCCCTCTTCCTCTACGGACCTCTTTTTCTTCTTCGACTTTCTCACAAA